TTTTTAAATGAAGTTGAATACTTCGATGCTGCCTTCGATCTTTTCAGCAGGAAATTTTTATATTACAGTGATAGAACGGTAATAAAGGCATCCCTTATTTTCAATTATCTTAAACGGTAAAAAATGAATGTTACACTATACAAAAGCAGCTCTGCCCATCCTTTTGAGGATTTAAAGGCGTAATATTATGTCATTTCACTAAATCACTAAATAGTATAAAACAAAGTCCCTATCCTCCGTCTGTCTGTCCCTATGTATGCTTCGATCTTTAAAACTACGCAACGGATTTTGATGCGGTTTTTTTATTAGATAGAGTGATTCTTAAAGAAGGTTTATATGTATAATACATGCATTTTGCACCTGTGCGAAGCCGAGGCGGCTCGCTAGTTACATATATTTGTTTAAAGACAGAAAAATTAACATCTTGTTTCATAAAGAGTACATGTATAATAACAAGATACGGACTCTTGAAGTCAATTAGTGAGTTTTTCAGCATGCGTTAAGCACAAACCAGAGAGTCAATCATTATCAACAGATAGACTGTTGACATGGCCACTGCTGACCAAAGGCCTCTTGTCACACGGAGAAGGTTAGAGCATTAATCACCACGCTTGCTTAATGCGGGTTGTTGTGATTTCAAACATGTAATTGGATATTGTAAGCCCAGATTTCTTCACTGTGTTTTCACTGTTTGTGAGTGGTATCTAGATAATCTTAGAACGTACATATAACTCGGAAAAAGTCACATTGGTACGTGGCGTTGGTAGGTTTCGAATTCGCATTCTCATATGTGAGAAGCGGGCGTTTTAAACCACGATATATACGATAGTGAATAACAAAAAATGGAAGTAAAAGAACTAAGGAATATTTATATTACCAACCAACTAATTAAGGCCCGATCCATCTATGAAGAGACTGTAGAACAAAATTGACTGTTGTCATGTTATGCAAAAGTATCATCTTTAACAGTTTTCTGTTAGAAATTAAAATGTTGAATGATTCGCACACGAAAAAAGAGGTCATTGCGTCAGTATGTCATTAAAACAATCACGAGCATTGATATTATACATTCCATTATTTTATCAAAAGTTAAACTATCTAGATTTCCTTCAAAGTAACCTAGATTTTGGTACTGATTGCCTAGAATTGGTTCAGGTGATATTAATAGCCACTCTCATTATAAAGTACTACGACAAGACACTTTCTATTTTCAACAATATTGATTTATTTATTTTACTACAGAACTTTATTCTAGATTTGAAAACGTAATAGTTTATCCTAAAAGGGTTGGTAGATATAGCCTAGTTTTTTTTTTAAGTTCTTCTTCTTAAATCACTAGGAATTTTCACAATACTTAACATAATATCACGCTTTTTTATCCCCGAAGGGATTTGCAGAGGTACACATTAAGGTACTTAATGCCACTGTACAATGTATCACCCACTTTTTACTGTTTATGTTATGAGTCCCAGGTAATGGGGGTGAGCTTATTGCCATATACAGGGCACAATTCCAGACTCCGTGCTACTACTGAGAATATTTGCCCGAACCCGAGACACTTGTGACAACTCGGCCAATGAGGCAGTCTTAACTGTCTCAGACAGTCAAATTGATTGTAACTTATAGAAAATAGAAATAATTTGTTGTTTTGCGCAGTTTTGTTTTAAATGCGCATATGGACAGATATATAAGTAATTGACATGTCATTCTGACATCATTTAATAATTGCACATGTTCTTTTGCAGATAATATCAAAATTGTCGTCGACGACCAATATCAAGGAATATCACACAAACCATCAAATAGAGCAAAGTCCTCTTATACTATTTTTGTTTTGGTTTGATTTCGGAATGACTTTGTGACATTGTGAACATTTCTCTACCGTAACAAGTGCATATATGACATCATCATAGTAGGTATCCGACATCGAGCTGTGAATCGCGAAAAACTTTGAAAACTTTTAAGGCGAGATAGTGCTCAAACGTCAGTCTCATCTAATATATATTATTATATATATGTATATAAAAAACTTACGAAAATTTAAATTTCGCGGATTACCTTGGAACATTCATTTTAACTCTCGATCGCTTGCTTCATTTCAGAAGGTCGTGTTATTTCTCTCTTTGTTATTTCCCTCCATCTTGTCCTGTTTTCGGCTTCTCTCAGGGCTTTCGTAACAGAGAGTCCAGTGTAGTTGGCAACTTGGTCACACCATCGGCTAGGTGATCGGCCACGTGGTCTTTTTTCTTCCACCTTACCCACAACAACCAATTTGTCGAGGTTATCTGCCTGGCGGCGGGCAATGTGACCGAAATATCCAAGCATTCGCTGGTAACATACGGTCGACAGTCTTGTCTCATTTTAACATGTGTCTATAAATTGTTACAATTGAAATTGAAAAAAGAAATTAAACTGTCAAACACCACGAGGACACCGGTGACCGCAACCTATTCTTCTTTAATTGTGTCTATAATGACGGTACTCAAAGAGTCAAAACTTGGTCGACTCTAAAAATAATTATTTAAAATGAATTGCTAGACTTACATTTTTTTTAAATATTATAAAGCTCTGTTCTGAAATCAAAAATTCAAGTAAAATAAAAGTGCACTCAACGAGGAGATGCCTCGTTTACACCATAAAAGCGAGACAGTAGCTCGGAAGAGTAATCCAGTGATCTTGATAGCGGTTCAATATTGACTGGAACGAGGCAGTGCCCCCGGCCAGTACGGTTCGATTGTTTGTGTTGACAGTACAATACAAATACAAATACTCTCCTCTTTATTACTCCAATACCCACACACAAATATTGGAAGTTGGATAAAATTTGATGAAGTATTTTTATGAAAGATCAGAATTGTATTTTTGTTCTAGAATCTGTATTGTAATAACTTTAATGGAATTGCATTTTGGGAGATTTTATACCTATTACTTGTTTAAATACAAAAGGTGAGAAAATGGCTGACTTTCTTTCAAGTTGTAACACGATACAATGTTTTTTCTTTTATTCATTGATTAAACTATAATGATTAATACTGGCTTCGCATCAACTACTTCATTTCTCTGCACTTCCCTATGGTTGACTGTAAGAGAATGCCTTAAGGCATTAAGTCCGCCATTCACTATTACAGTTTGTGAAGAAGAATAATGATAAATAAATAAATAAATGAATAATATTATAAAGTGGAAAGTGATACACCTAGTCGACGTTATTTTCTTTGACCACGGAAGGAATACCAAGAGTAATACTTGAGTTCTTTTATAAAATAATCTATTTTTTGCTTGGATCGCGAAATTGATCGAATAGAGACTAATAAAATGAATTGATTTGTAAATTACCACAATATAATACCTATCTGAAACGCTTACATATTTACTTCTCGAAATTTCAATAGAAATGAGGTGAATGAAATATGTATCAAGTCTTATATAAGAACACATAGCAGTGCAATGGCCGATGTGACTCAAAGGCGTGATTTTTAAAATTGATTGATTGGGTTCATTAAGAAAAATATCAATGATTTTAATCGCGATAAATATTTTTATATCGATAACAATATTAGTACCTACATTAGATTAGATTTACACCACATTTAAGAACAATGTTTCTATGTAGATAATAAAATAAGAAAATTATTTATTAAATTTTAATGCAATCTTATGAATTTCAACGGAATTATTACTTGCTATCGAATTCATTGCTTTAATTACTAATTATTTATTAGAAGCCTGTGTTTGACGAAAATGCAGTCTAATGAATACTAATCCTTTGATAAGTCTTGATTTTTGATTATATCAACGTTACTGGGTTGATCTGATTTCGTCTGGCTTTTTGGATGTCCATGGGCGACGCTGATCGCTTACCATCAGGTGACCTCCAATTCCACAAAAAAGGGCATTTTAACTTTGTCCATCAAACCCCCGTAAATATACTCTTCTCTAGTTATCTATGTGTTATGTAAACCAGACTAGGAATAAAAATTTAAGGACAAACACTATTTTTCCGTATGAGAATCAAATCTGCCGCACATTTTCACCAACCGAGCGCCCAGTCACTATACCGACCGTCGATTTAAGCAGAAGTAGAGAAACAGGTCCTGATATTGTTAAGATCAATAGTACGAATGGTTATTTCAAATATATAAATCCAGGCAGTTCTATGAATGGAAACTATGAAGTCCAGATATTTATAAATAGTGGATCCATAAGCAGACGCAGGCTATTTCAGAACGTTACGTCAATCGATTTTTATATTTGGATCTGTATTTCTAGTAATAGTCCAAATTCATTGTGAGGATTGTTCTGCTCTGCTAAACATTCATTTGCCACATTTTTATCTTTAGACCATCTTTTCTATTAATCTATAGATAAGTGATAGTGGAGATTTTGACTGTCATAAAATTATGTCATTAATGTGTTGACTCATTAGTAAAAGATTAACAAAATATTGTCTTGTTTACATTAGCCGAGAAAAGTGATTAGTGTATTGACTAGTTTGGTTTCTATCTATTTGTATAATTTTCTTAAAAACCAGTTTGAATTGTGCATCTTCAATTTATTAAGGTTTTGATTCCGTAGTCCTGGAAATGTAATCAAAAGGTATGACAGATTCATTATTTATCAACTTATTCCTCATACAACATCAGAATTTAATTTCTCATCTCTAAACATTACGGTTTCTTGTCTGTCGTCTGGAGAATCTCGCTCTTCAAAATAATATTCCCCGCTGTTGTACTTTTGTATTCATTTGATGAATGTCAGGTTTGTTCTGTATTTGCCTACACACCGAGATATTGTGCGGAAACTTATTTGTCATTGGTTGTCTCCTGAAATCTTTTGATGCTCTGCACAATACTAAATGTTTTCCCCGGGATTTAGCAGCAGAGCGAAAAATTGGTGGGATTTAATGATTTGTGAGTTATGGTTTGAGGTTTGTGATGGATTGTACTGATTTTATGTTTGGTATTAAGCAGTTTCATGAGATGAATGTGTTTGGATTGCAGGTGGTGTCAGTGGGAGCGGGAGGAGCGGCGGCATGCGCGTGGTGTTGGCAGCGCTGACGGCGCTGGCGGCGCGCGCGCTCGCCGGGCCTCACGAGCACCGCGCGCGCCACCACGCGCCCGAGCACCCTCCACACTTCCCCGCGCCGGCGCCGCCACAGCCCTACCGCGGACACGGCGAGGCCGTCCGATACAACCCCGAACTAGACACTATACTACCCCGACTTGAAGATCACGAGACTTCCTCCAAACGAGCAAAGTTTGAAGATGCAGAAACCTCTTCTAAGAGAGCCAAATACGATGAAAGATTCTACTCGAATCATGAACGAGCTGATGAAGAGCCTATGGCTGATGAGCCACAGCTCGGGCCAGAGGACGACGATCCACTCGTCGTTCGTACGAGAAAGGGAAGAGTAAGAGGCATCACATTAACTGCTGCAACTGGGAAAAAAGTCGACGCATGGTTCGGCATCCCATACGCTCAAAAGCCTGTAGGTGACTTGAGATTCAGGCACCCTAGACCGGCAGAGAGCTGGGGAGATGAAATATTGAATACTACGACACTGCCACATTCATGCGTTCAAATTATAGATACTGTGTTTGGTGATTTTCCAGGAGCGATGATGTGGAATCCCAACACAGACATGCAGGAAGACTGTCTCTTTATTAATATAGTCACACCCAGGCCACGACCCAAGAACGCTGCTGTCATGCTGTGGGTCTTCGGCGGTGGGTTTTACTCAGGAACTGCTACTCTAGATGTTTACGACGCAAAAATACTCGTATCAGAAGAGAAAGTAGTCTATGTTTCAATGCAATATAGAGTTGCGTCCCTAGGTTTTCTATTCTTTGATACTCCTGATGTACCGGGTAATGCTGGTCTTTTTGATCAGCTCATGGCTTTACAATGGGTGAAAGACAACATAGCTTACTTCGGAGGAAACCCGCACAATATAACATTATTTGGTGAGTCGGCGGGGGCTGTGTCGGTTTCATTGCATTTGTTGTCGCCTTTATCGAGAAATTTGTTCTCTCAGGCGATAATGCAGTCAGGAGCAGCTACTGCACCGTGGGCCATTATATCAAGAGAAGAAAGCATTTTGAGAGGAATCCGATTAGCAGAAGCTGTCCACTGTCCACATTCCAGAACGGATATGGGCCCTATGATTGAGTGTCTCAGAAAGAAGAGTCCAGATGAACTAGTCAATAATGAATGGGGAACTCTTGGTATTTGTGAATTTCCCTTTGTGCCCATCATAGATGGTTCTTTCTTAGATGAGTTACCTGCTCGATCATTAGCTCATCAGAACTTTAAGAAGACCAACCTTTTGATGGGATCCAATACGGAGGAAGGTTACTACTTTATACTTTATTATCTTACTGAACTATTCCCCAAGGAAGAGAATGTAGGGATAAGTAGGGAGCAGTACTTGCAAGCAGTCAGAGAGTTGAATCCGTACGTGAATGACGTTGGTAGACAGGCTATTGTGTTCGAGTACACGGACTGGTTGAACCCAGACGATCCAATAAGGAACCGAAATGCTTTGGATAAGATGGTGGGAGATTATCACTTTACTTGTGGAGTGAATGAAATGGCGCATCGTTACGCAGAAACTGGAAACAACGTCTTTACATATTACTACAAGCATCGCAGCAAGAACAACCCCTGGCCATCATGGACAGGAGTGATGCATGCTGATGAAATCAATTATGTATTCGGGGAGCCATTGAATCCAGGAAAGAACTATTCGCCGGAGGAGGTGGAATTCAGCAAGCGCCTAATGAGATATTGGGCTAACTTCGCGAGAACCGGGTGAGTTATTAATTTTTTATTAATACAAATCGATCTCAATTTATTTGATACCATCATAAATTGTGCTTAACATCTGACGTTTAGAGCCGTGTGATGTGATGATCAATCATTTAATTTCAAATGAAAATGATGAAATCCTTGGCTGGAATAATTTTGATAACGGTATCAGTTACTATGTTATAATTTGCTAAAACAAAATTTCTTGCAATTGCTGATTATTAATATGTAACTAATTATTAATTGTAATTTATTGGTTTTGTGAAGCTAATGATTTTATAAGGAAAATGAAAAGATAAAGATCTGTAGGTGAATTTTTGTATTTACCTGGTCACTACATGACGCTTACGTTTTAGTACAGCCTTATGCACTAATTTCATGAATACAAAATTAGGTAACGTATTGTGACTTCAGAAGGTTTTAAAAGTACATGAGCTAATTTTGCCACACTTATAGTCACGTATATAATGTAGACGATTAATAAGGAGCGATTCTTGCACTAAAGGCAAGCTCCAAACAACGCACTATTTCCAGACGTGACGTGACGTGAGATGACATTTCTCTACCTAGACGTGAGCATATTGAACATTCTACTGACGAGGTTACATTTTCAATACATTATCAGTTTCAAAACGTGTTCCTTCTTATTTCTAGCAACCCATCGATAAACCCGAATGGAGAATCGACGAAGATCTACTGGCCAGTCCACTCGGCTACCGGCAGAGAGTACTTGTCGCTGGCAGTCAACTCCAGTACAGTAGGCCACGGGCTGAGAGTCAAGGAGTGTGCGTTCTGGCAGAAGTATCTGCCACAATTGATGTCTGCTACCAGTAAGTAATAAAATCATATTTAGTTTCTATTTTTTATGAGATAGCAGAGCAAGCGCCCGGTAGCGAGCAATTAGAGTTGTCTGTAGACGTCTGTAACGGTAGAGATAGTAACCCAAAAAAAAAACCCAGAACATAATAGATAAATAAAGTATTTCCTTTTTTTATGGGATAAGCCGGTAAACGGGCAGACGGATCACCTGATGGTAAGCAATCGGTGTCGCCCATGGACACCCGAAAAACCAAAGGTGTTACAGGTGCGTTAGCGGCCTTTTGGGGATTAGGAGTTTGAGGATCATTGGGGATTCAGGGATTAGGGAGATTGGGGACGGGGAGGGTAATTGGGCCTTCGGTAACCTCACTCACACGACGAAACACAGTCGGTTTTCTTAGAGGCCGTGGTATCACTCCGGTCGAGCCTTCCCATTCGTGCCGAAGCATGGCTCTCCCACACTTTAAAAATGAACCTTTAAACTGATACAAACATTTATCATTCAAGCAACAAGCGTTTTTCTTTAGAAACATACTTGTAAGCCCTCTGAGCTGCCCAACAACGATGCCGATTCGGAGTCGCGGAGAACCTATCGGGTAACCGGGGCTCCGGCTCGACGTGCAGGAGAAGGAACGGGGTGGTTTTTAGTCAGTAAGAGTCTGACACTCCCTCCCGCCTCACCCAGGCGGGAGTAGTCATTCGATGATTTTCGCCCCTTAAAAAAGAAAAGCCCTCTGGAGCTATGGATGTTCATGGGTGGCGCATCGAGTGATCCATGTAACCGATCCCATAAAAATATTTGTGATAACCATTTTAATATTATGTAATTTGAGGCAGACAATAATGTTATTGTTAAAGTAGGAGGTATGTCATTAGTGTCAATTCGAAATATATATGTATATTTAGATAGCAGCTATCACAGACATAAATCTTAAAATCACAGTAGCGGCACGTATTAATTAATTTACAATAATTATCGAAGCCGGTGATAAAATGAAACAACTGTTCATTGTAATCAATATAATATTTATCAATAGGTACTTTAATATTTAATACTGATGGTTGCTACGATTTTTCCTTTTTTCAAAATAATTCGCTTACCGTGGTTTCCTTTTGTTGGGTTTTGGCTTTGAGATAATTGTCGAAGTACTTGAATTACATAATATTAATGAGAGATATGGTTTATTTGTTAGTCTGATGACACCCACATGCCAAATGGACGATTTATGAAATAATGTCGACAAAAAGTGATTCAAATTAATTTTTTTTTAGAGGGTTCTGGCAACGTGCTTAGCATAGGTTGACGGTGTTTTCTATAACTACTAGCGGACCCAACAGACGTTTTCCTGCATATCCACTTGAATGTATAAACAAAAATTCATTCAAATTAGTTCAGATGTTTAGGATAAATAACCTAAACATCGACTGTAGCGCCATCTGCCGGGCTGATTTGTGAATCTCAACCATTCCCAGATCCCCTTGAACACACACAAAAAATTTCATCAAAATCGGTCTAGTCGTTTGAGAGAAGTTCAGTGACATACACACTCACGGAAGAATTATATATGTATATATAAAGATTAATATACCTCTAGAGGTAATTCTAGAGCTATATGCAGCAAAAAATAAAAGAACGGTTTACGCAAAAAAGGCTCAAGTGAATAGATTGCTTATGGCAGACGTGCTCGATCGAAAGCCGCATATTCGCTTACCATCAGGCGAGATAGTGGTCAAACGATGGATCATCAAACACAAAAAAAAATCCAACAAATGATGCATTTTAGTTCCCACATATTTTGCACACGTGTATTAATTAGTTGTAGGAATTGTCGAGCTTTTAATTACTATACATAAATGTGGGATTTCCCAATCGTTATGACTACGTATGCAAGATTGGTATCATATCAGTTCGCAATTACTTATGTATACCTATGATGGCATTCTGAAAATCTGATTATATCATTATTCACATAACCGGTTGCGTTAATATTGTTATTATCGTTAAATTATTATGACGATTTTATAATATATCTCTGGTATTCAGTGATTTTCATTTTGCTGTTACTAATCAATTTTGATAAATCTTTTTACTTAAGTAATTTCTTCGAAAGGTAACTCCTCAAAATGTTTTTGAATGGATTAAATTAAATACTTTTAAGCTAAGCTCAAGTACGTATTATAAACTACCTTCATGGACATCGTAACAGGCAAACAATAAAATGAACATCGTTTGAGGATAGCTTTCTATTTTGTTTAAAAATATCGACATTTTTAAAGTACGGTTTTTTTATTAATGTGTCCTGTACAATAAGGTTGCCAGGGTAAGAAAAGAAAAATGAAAAAATATTAGGCACGTATTTTATTTATTTAAAAGTTACAATACTTACATAAAATGGTGTTAAGTTTACGTGTTACATTACAATGGCATTAGTGCCGTAATGTGCACCTCTGCCTACCCTTTCGGGGATAATAGGCGTGATGTTATGTTATGTTTAGGAGTGGAACATCGTTAAGTCACACGACATTTCCGTCACTAGACAGGCATCAAAATTATTTGTTTTTTAGAGTACGATGAAGCTGTACTCAGAAATAACTTAATATATTCATTTATGACATAAAATTATACTTTCCTTGTTACAGATAAGCCAGAACCTCCAAAGAACTGTACGAGCAGTGCGGCACCAATCAAAGTGCCGTATGAAATCATTGGAGTGGGTGTAGTCATCGCCACTGGTTTGGCCAAGACCACTATGTTCAAGTATATCGTGTAACTGTATCCTGTGGTCTTCGAGTATCTTAGATTTATTTGCTTCGTCTACTGTTTCTTCATTCATAAGATTCAGATTGTTAGAAATATCGTCAAAGTTTATGAAAGTACCATACGTTAGGGACATTATTTTTGAATGAATTATTATTATATTTTTCAATCATGGGAGGCGAATAAAGGTGTTTAGAAATGAAATTGTAATTGATTTGAAGTTGGTCAAAATGTTCATGTAATTTCGATTATACCTACATAATCATTTGATTATACATAACTAATCTAACACATAACACACCAACAACCGAAACCTACATAATCATATGATTACACATAAAAAGATGTATCTTTAGATAAAAATTAATAATCAATAGGTATAGGTATACTTACAAATGGAAGGCGCCTTTTCATTTAAAGATTTCTATTGAATGACATATGTAAAAGTATGGATTTATTTTAATTTTTATAATAACTATCGTGAGACATATTAAATTAACTAAAAACGCGGGTTACTCACGTGAATACTGAGAAAAGCTCTACTAGTCGCGCGGTCACGGTAACGTCGCGCACGCTGCTCATAGTCATGAGGAAGAACCCCTCTGTGGTTCGAAACTACTAGAGCTTTTCTCAGTATTCACGTGAGTAACCCGAGTTTTTAGTTAATGTTTTAATTTTTTAAGAAATGGAAATAAATTTGTTTGTGCTATATATTGGCAATCTGAATCTCGTGAGTAAAGAAGTAATGAAATAAATTAGATTATTTATTCGTGTATAATATTATGTGTTGCCGCCAAAAAATCTCTGGAATATTTTCTTATCAACTTATTTTTATAACGTAGAGTATTTTAGTTGTAAGCCACCTGGAGTGTTGAATTGCTGAGTCCATTAATATTCGTCTAGATATCTGTTAAGTTCAATAGTTAAATGTAAGCGATGTAATGTATTGTTTAAATTCTAATGTTATACTTTAAAGGAGTGATTTCTCCAACTACATATCACTTGTTAATAACAAATTATAGATTACTGGTACACGTAATTTCGTCATAGTATAAGTACTATCTACATATCTTCTGTAGGTTAATGAACTTCTGCCATGTGGTGTGACGTCATCATGAATGTCAACTTTGTCTTCATAGTGCTAAGGGCATGATGTTTCAATTGAGTCTGCGGTGTGTTTCGGTGTTTCGGAGTTCTGAAGGCGTAGATATGAGTAAATGATTAAAATGTTAGCTTTAACTCGCCTCTAACGCAATACATATCACGCAAAGGCATAGAAAAATTTAAGTTCATTATAGCCTTAGAGAGTAAGTTTAATATAAGCTAGATCATTTCAACACTCAGTAGCGGACCAATATTAGAAAGTTGTACGTGTTATAATGGTTCGATGCAATGCGGCGGAACTATGCGGATCGTGCGCCATCACTTACGAAGCCAAGCAGAACAAGCAACATTTTGATATTTGCGAACAAATTACCAAAGAAATCATAGATACAAAGTTAAATAAGACTAAAATTCATAGTAATCTTACAATATTATACACTAATGGGAGCGAATGTACACGAGACGCAATCCAGAGGGCGATGAAGGGAATACATAAATGGAAGATGTACAGAAAGTAGTATACTGAATGTATTAGCGAATACAAAATTTAGTACATTACATTTAGGGTCGATACATCTAGTTTAGAGATCGTAGTTCGAGCGGTTCAGCTTTCAAATATTGGTGGACGATAGAAGAATCTTTACAATTCGAGATTTAAGATAAATATTACTAGTACAATACCGTAAGGTTCTCGCGACAGTCGACTAGACAACTGGATAACTTCATTGATGTAAATAAATGAGTGTTAGTATTGTAGGGACTCGTGACGCCCTTGGTTCTTTTTTTTAAAGGGTCGATCAGACGGGTGCCTACGTCGTGTATATCAAGAAAATATTAACCTGTTGTGAAGGACGATACCTATGAGACATAGTTAAATGTAATTTTTACGTAGTATTCTGTGCTTCTGTTGGTTTATTTACATTAGGCTACGTGATCGTACACGTGGACGGTGTCTCTCGCTATGTTAGTTAATGTATAGTAATATTCATGTTCTAGTTCCACGTTCAATGTTTCACAGATTACGCTTATTTTAGATCTGCGTATATAAACCTATAGAGTGCCTCTTATTCACTTTTATATATATTGATACATAGGTGATACTGGTAGATGTAGTTCGCGTTATTTCTCGATGCACACTTTATTTCATTTTGTATTTCGTACTCAACACAGACGCGTAGTGCCAAATGAGATTGAGAATTTTGAAAAGGGGTTAAAGATTTGAATTTTGCGATACAGATAACGCTTTCGACATAAGAGAATTGTATATTTGGTGCATTCGAAACGAATGATAAATAAACGATTTGTTCAAAATTATAGCTTATCCACTATGTGATGGTGTTTTGAGGTTATAGTGTTCCACTTGGAGAGAATTAAAATCTGTTTGGATATCTAACTGTGTAGATGAACGCACACCTTTTTATAATTATTCCAAAATGAGTTACGAAACTTAAATGTGTTTAAATGAATGAAAATTGTACAACATAACCTCAAAACACGAGAACCTTTTTGGAGACACACAAAATTGCTATGACAATAAAATTTTAACGCAAATCTTAATTTTTTACGATAAAAATTTGTAATATTCTAATACTTTTCCTAACTGATCTTAGATTTATCCTTCCTTGATATTGTCCATTGAATTTTACAAAACACAGATCATCTGGTCATTAAGTTGAAGGGTAAAAAAGTTTTTATTGTTTATTAAAGCATACTTACACGTGCAGTTTTCGATATCCGATATCCAAAAAAGTATGTAACATTTTTTATTGTTTAACTAATGGAAAATATTTTTTATCATTCCATTTTTAAATTTGAAAGTTTCGAGACACAAACATAGAACATGACGTCTTCATTTTTAATCATAATATTTTTAAAGGCTAGCAACTGTGTTTTGTAAAATTGAATAATTAAAAAATAAATGTAAAAATTCCGTTGCTCTTGTAACACCGATACTTCGCTTTTGATTCCGCTTGGCTATAATGTTAAATGTAAAATAAAATAATCAATGTATTACGAATGGCCTAAACTGTAGGAGGTATGACTTTGAGGCCTACGATAATTTTCCGTATTGTTATTTTACATTAAAATGTTATCTTTTTTCAATTCTAATAGCGATTCAAGTAAGTTAATAACATTAGTGCTATGATTGCATTATTGAATGTTTGCAAAGTTTGTGTTTAATTATAAAAATAAATGCTTGTATATACATTCTTTTTTATTTTTCACCTTCGTCGTATGTATTTATAAGAAGTCTTGGTATGTCTACAGAATTGTATGTAATATAAGCATAAATTAATAATCTGTTGGTGTTAGATTAACACGAACTCAACGGATACTGGCTAGTTATCATTTTATTGAAAAAAAAAAAACATTTAGGGCAATAATTTACGTGTCTTCTGTGTACAGGTGTGTGTGTATGTATGCGTGTATGTATGTATGTATCTTGTCTTTATGTATGAATGTGTATGTGCATGCATGACTATATGTGTATGTATGTGTGTGTAGACGCAGGATGCGTGTGTATATGTATGTGTACGAGAACGTACACGTGTTTATGCATGTTTATGTGTCTGTGTATGTGACATTAAAAATATCAGTATGTAAGAGTGTCAGTAATATTTATAGTCGCTTAAAGTATCGTATAAGTTGGTGGATGTAGCAATTGGCTCTCATCTGTACATATTAAAGGCTTCTCATTGATGTATGAGTATATGGGATCATTTCCAATCTCTTTGATGTCCGCTGGTTCGATACCAAATTCCTTATGGTAGTTAACTGGATGCTGCTCATTGGTGGCAACTGAAATAATGTCGAAATGCTAGTTAAGCCTTTACTAAACCAATTAAGGGGAATATGGTTCGATTTCAGGTTAGTGGAATTGGGATGATGATAGGATATGAAAATTAAAAATCTAATTAGTCCATAAGTTGGGCAATAAAAAAATATTAGATACGTATTTCTTTATTTTGTCGTATAATAAAACGATACTTAGATAAAACGAATCGAGGTTTAGGAGTAGGGACTAAAACGTCATTTCTACGTATAAAATGTACATAGAAGTGACGTCACGCGACATTTTAAATCAATATATCGTCGGAAGTAACCGTTTCTGTGAGAAAATAAAAAATACGTGTCTAATGATTTAAAACAATCTACCAGACGGACATTAAAATAAAAATTAGGCATCTACCCTATTATTAGTTAACAATAAAGCCGACCATTTACTTGCCTCGTTGCCTTATTATAATTGATTTAGCAAAAAGGGAATTTAAAATATTTTTTTTAGTAAGCCTCAAGAAAAAGCTAGCTTATTTTGTATTGTACAAATTGATTATTGGGACAAAAGGCAAATAAAAACGTAACTAAACATGTATTGTGTAAGTTTTTATTTTGTTTGGCAACTGCCTATGCCTAAAAGACGTGTATTAAAAAAAACAAAAGAACTTACCACTGTTTAAAATATTGTCACGAACAACGAGAGCACTAACATCAGCCACAAGAAATGCGAAGAATACGTAGTGGCCCATTTTTTTTTTAATTTAAAAGTATTATTGAAATAATTATATTTTTTGTAGGGATATATTATACTTTCTGACTATTCTCTTTGAATAACATAATTACTAACAAAGGCTGTTGTATTTATATGAACTTGCTATTATTTGTTTTGCCTTCAGGTAACATATTTTTTAAGATCAAATTGATATATTGTAAGATCATAAAGATATAAAGAAACCCTTTAAACATGTTTTTATTTAAGTACTATACCAAGTTTATGTAGCGTTTAGTGTCAATGACTCGTTATAGATCATATCATGAGTCGAATCCCGATCCTATCAATACTTAACAACGTATTGTTTTTTATTTATTGATAAAATATGCAGTCATCACATAAAATATACGAAGAGAGAAACTAAAATGATTGACTGATAAATAAATATGAATATGCACAGGGCATTTTCTTTTTTATGGAATAGGAGGTAAACGAGCAGACGGATCACCTAACGGTAAGCGATCAGCGCCGCCCATAGACACCCGCAATACCAGAGGAGTCACAGGTGCGTTGCCGGCCTTTTTAAATGTCATGTTATGTTATTCAATTAAATACATTTTAACGTTACTGTTTTTTTGAACGGAAATTAACTTGAGTTTTCTTCAATTTTTATTTTGATCCACGATACCACGACGGTGGCACAAAAGCACACGACCCACCTGATAGTAAGCGGTTACCGTGGCCTATGTACGCCTGCAACACGTGGGGCTTTACATACGCCTTGCCAACCCGGTCACCGGTGACCGCAACCTATTGTTCATTAATTGTCGGTAATGACGGTACTCAAAGAGTTAAAAAACCTATTCACTCCCCTCTTGAAGAATCCTCCTCATGTTGTAGCCCACTGGGAAAACCATCGTGATCATGAGACCACGATCATGCTAGATGATAAATGTTTAGCTGTTAAATGTTACCTATAAGCTGTCGCGGAGAACCTAACGGGTAATCGGGGTTCCGGCTCGACGTGCAGGAGAAGAAACGCGGTGGTTTTTAGTCAGTAAGAGTCTGACACTCCCGTCCGCCTCACCCAGGCGGGAGCAGTCATTCGATGATTTTCGCCCCTTAAAAAAAAAACAAAAAAATACCTATAAGCTAATAAATCTTTTCTCCTCTTTTAGCAACCTAACAATGTGCAGAGCAGTAGTGGTGGGGTCAAAACCAATGGAATGGACTACATAATCATTCAGTGTGAGGATACATTACTGACTTCATGAATGTGACCTTCGGGGATTGAAGTGTTATCTTTCTACGAAATTCCAATCCTTTAGGGACTACCAAGTGTAGAGTTAGTCATATCAAAATATAAAATCTTGATATCATAAGGTTTTTCCCAATAGTGATAGTTTGTGATAAGACTTATTGTAGTCATTAGATACTAGATAGTAAAATCTATCTATCATCTATGGCTAGTGTTTAATACCTACTCATGTGTCCCTGTCTATACAGCGTGTTTTAAGTTTAATGACATAAGGTTAATTCAATATTGACAAGTTTTTTAAAAATTTTGGGAAAGTCACTCAAATTTTTTTCCCGTCTTGAGTGTAATTCTTTAGTAGTATGCATATGTGCGCACCATGTTACACTTTTTTTTTTACTTTTTTTATTTTGGTAAGTTTTGTAATTTGTATAATGCGTCAAGTGTGTTGCATAATTCTCACATATAGTGTTGTATTTAGTATTGTATAGAGGTATAGTATTGGAATATGTATCAAGACATTGTAAAACATACTTTTTTTTAAAAGAGTAGGTAACGAATGGAGTTTCTTACTCGTTCTTCTCCATTCGAATTTACATTTTGGAATGAGCAACTAGCTTCACTGACGGACTGACTGACAGACGATTATTTATTTTGTATTTGTTGACGTTTCAAAAGTACCAAATTATGGTCGAATTGAAATAAATGCTTTGACTTACTGACTAAAAACTTCTTCTTCTACTCTTCTATATGAAATTAAGGCTAAAATTTAATAAGTATTTTATGTCCTTCTGGAGTCCTTTATACTCTGTATGTCTGCATGTGGAATCAAAGGTTGATTATAAGACAGGCGGGTTCTATTGCTACATTACCAGATTATCGCCCTGTCGGTGACCAAACAAAACACTGACCTACTATAATAAAAAGGGAAATAGCCAGATAGTCAATGGCATAACATCAAACATAACATCACTGCCTAGGGGTAGGCAGAGGTGCACATTATGCCACTGTACAATGTAACACCCACTTTTCACTATTTATGTTATGAGTCCCATGTAATAGGGGGTGAGCATAGGCTCCCGATCGTATCGATACTTGGCAATAGTGCCATATACCGGGCACATTGCCAGACACCGTGCTACTACTGAGGTTTTTATAAACCCAGTAATACTTTGCCCGACCTGGGAATTGCCCGGCAGTCGCAATTGCGACCACTCGGCCAATGAGGCCGTCATAGTAGTACATAATCAACGGCATACTAAGTATAATACCTTACGAATCCATGACAATAGTGTTTTAACGATTTAGGTCCTTTGTTATGAATAGTTTGCTACTCATGATAAAGAATCTGTTGCCAAGTCCTTGAATGCCATTCTGACATGCATGTATCAAAATAATATAGATTATCGTTCATTTAAAAGTAGGTCTCTTCTAAAAATGGCGTCTTTAAGTTTATTGATAATTTTTTTATCAATTTTTATAATTTTTTGTTACGATATGATATGATCTAATTAGGATACATGCCCAACGTTCTATTAAGATATGAAAAAAATAATGTAATTAAAATGCAGTCTATTTACAAAAATTATAATACTTAAATTATGACAAGAAAGCTTCTTAGACCCGAACATACCGCATATTTAGATTTAGATGGAGAGGGAGATGAAAAGAAATTCTGGAACTAAAAATTGTGACAAAACCACATTTATTTATGTGAATGGACCACAAGAATACAGCGCTTTAACAAGTTTGTATTCTGAAAATAATAAGAATTGGCTTTAGACAGCTCGAAAAGTGAGAAGATGATAGGTAGGGCTATGCTCAGCTAATGACCTATCCTACCATACCATACATACTCTTTTACATAAAAAAGAATTGGATGGACTGACGTAGCAATAGAATAGTATGGCCTGGAATAAGACAGGCCACTATTATATTCCGAATATGTGGACAAAGCGACAAAACGGCGGCTTTACCTTTTTTTAAGGGGGGAAAACCATCGAATGACTTCTCCCGACTGGGTGAAGCGGGAGGGAGTCCCAGACTCTTACTGACTAAAAACTACCCCGTTCCTTCTCTTGCGCTTCGAGTCGGAACCCCTGTAACCCGTTAGGTTCTCCGCGACTCCGAATCGGCATCAGCCCTGTTGGGCCCCATCCGTGGTGGTCTGATGGGTCTTTGAGGCGCGCGCGCAACGCGACGCGCCGTATGCTCGGGTCTGTTTCTGGTCGGACGGGGAGCCACCCATGCTGGCCGTCCGCAGGCCCGCGCTTACGGTGGCCGGAGATCGTCCCGCGATCCCCGACGCCCGGATTGTCCTTCGCGACGGCTGGGTTGCGAGGAGGCAGCGCTTCGCTGCCTCACGCGTCCCGCCTCCTCCTTAGCTAACATGACTGCTTCGCAAAAGGAGGAGACGGCATCCCAATCCCCCTCCAGTCCTTTACCAGCGGGTAGAGTCTAATAAATAATAAATTAAATAATCATAAGCAGGTCAATGGATTGTCCTAGCTAACACCCATGTGCCTCAGCTCAAGATCACTATTATTTTATCGAATTTTGATAGTACATACTCGTACCGATTATGTACGCATAAAATAAACAATTAAAAGATTATCTTTAGATGAGACGGCTCGATTACAAACCGATTAATTGCTTCCGAATCATATAAATACGAAATTTCGGGTGTCATTGTATGTTATTCAACTTTTAAATTTTATTCAGGTAAGACATTACTTGAAAAATGTTTATGTTCATTGAAATACGAAATATGAAATAAATAACAACATACTTTTGTTAATGAAACTTGAAATATAATAATAAATTAATAACTTTGTTACTAATTAAAAAAACATGTTATTTTTCTGTTAATGGAAAATGGTGTTAATTTCTTTTTTGTTTTTTTAGAACAAATTCAAGATGAAATTCTTCATCGCTTTCGCGGTCCTCATCGCAGGCATCAGTGCTGTACCATACCCTGCTGCCCACCCAAGTAAGTAGAACATAATAGAAATAAAAAAGAAAACTACCAAGAAATACTCATAATTTTCTGACATTCATTTGTGAACCATAAGCCTTAAGATAGCATTTTTATTATTATTACTTTTTTAAGGTGTATGTAAATATTTTAGGTTTTAGTTATTTATACCTATTTTAAGTTATATATATTTATTTCATTTAAATTCTTATTAATAAAGTAATGTTCATTAAAATAAAATACACAGAAATAATAAATTTGTAAAGTATAACATATATGATTTGTTTTTTTTTTATAGCTATTGAAACTATTATATTTATTTAATTTTTTATTAAATGCATGGGTAAATACTTTTATTATTTCAATAGCGTAATATATTTCTTTTTTAATAAAGCATATTACTTGCAGTCGATTTTTCTGACGAGCGTTTGGTGACTGGTGCTATTGAAGACGCCATCAAAGACGTGAGCCAAGCCATCAAGGACGCTGGTCTGGACCCCTTCCACATTAAGAGAGAAGACTTCAACTACGAACTTCCAGTACCCGTGTAAGTAGAAACAAAAGTACTATATACTATTTAATTATGGAATACACTTCGCTTGTAATAAGATTGGACCCAAATAATTTAAATAATGATAGTATAAAAACAGAAAAAAAAATTCTGTTTCCAATCTGACGTAATTCCATTATAACAGTTGGAGACAAAATCAAAATTGGAACGCTAAAAACCTTAATTCTTTCAAATCTTAGTTTGGATGTCTTGCTCAAGATTGCATCTTGCGACCTGGACAACGTCAAAGTCTCATAAAATTCACTCTAAATCATACGTTTTACTTGTTGTGGTTTCTCCAATAAAATGTCGCTTGAAAAATGATCATCTCGATCTTCAATCATGAACACGGACACACAAACACACAGACACACGTATTCTTGTATAATGCAGATTGTAAATTAAAGGTATTTTTCCAGGCTCTTCAAAATCGATGCCTTCATTGAGGAAGTTCTGAGCACTGGTCTCAGTAACATCAAGGTCAACAGACTGAACTACAGCGTCCTCCTCTCCCGACTTCAATTCGACATTGAGCTGCCTCTTATCCACTTTTCCCTCGGTAAGTTAACAAAATATTCAAGTATTTTAGTATCCTGTAAGCCACGCTATAAGTATTTTTAAGTTAAAGTCTGTAAGGTTCAAGATGATTATGCTTTAACGTTGTTTCTTCTAAATGAAGTTTCCACTACACTTTATGTATGACGGATTCAACATAATTTATGTAGGTACAGTATTCTGACGTCATCAACAATAAAATTATGTTTGCAATGTCATAATGACTATAAGTAGGCAGCTTTGCAATGTGTTGTTAAATAGGTTTCTTGCTTTATAGGTACTACTTAATCAAACCTTTTTTTTAAGTTTATTTTTGACAAAATCTTATACTTTTTAAATCTTTTAGGCGATGCTAACGCTGACGCTGTTGTCTTCAGCAAGGACCATGACTTTGCTGGCTCAGGAAGGTAAGGGATACGATTTTGTGATGAGACATAGATACATAACAATAATCAATTACCCCACCTCCTTCCCCAATCTCCCCAATCCCAGAATCCCTATCAAAACTCAAATTTTTTCAAATTCCCAATAGGCCGGGAACGCATTTATAATGCCTCTGGTGTTCCAGGTGTCTGTGTTTACCGGCTTATCCCAAAAAAAAAAACATTTTTATTTGGTTCAGTTGATATTTAAAGGTATTCGAAGAACCTTTGTTTTACTACATATGTTTTGTGTCATTTAATACTGTTGAGTTTTTCAATCTCTACGTCATCGTCTGATTTCTCCTATTTAGATACTATATCGTTTGTTTATTTCTTCTACAGTGTCAACATTGAGAGAATCCGATTTGTCGGCGAAGTTAGAGTCAACGTTGGTATCATCTCCGGTATCTCAATCCGCAGCCTCTCCATCTCTTTCACCCTTAATGACATTAAGGTAAGCCTTCTTTCTTCTTTCCTTTGATATTAAAACGTTAAAAAGTTCAATTAACATCTGTTTTTCGATTTTCATAATTGCATTCATGATTGTAAAGTTCATTATCATGTGACTTATTTTTATTCTCATTTTCTTGCAGTCTGACGCCAACCTAGTCCTCTTCGGCAAGGACTACTCGGATGACTTCAACAACTTTGTCGGTGGCGTTGTTCCTAACACCATCAAGGCTCATTACGTAAGTTTTTCACACTATTATTGATATTTAGTAGATTTTTTTATTCAACTACATGGTTTATGTCACAGAGAAATGTGGACTTGCCCATTCCCACAAAGAGTCCATTTTACTTTAGCCAGCTCAAATCCAGCATAAAATAATTAGGGTCTAATCCACCAATTCCTTTTGGTGTTTTCCTTCGCTAAGTACTGTCTGCATTGGAGGATGCCCATAGGGCGCTATTGCTTAGTTTGCGAAAATAGTAAAAGAAAGCGCTTAAGATACATTGTCAAAGATTAGTCTGATTAAGTGACTCTTCTTAGAAAGTACAGAATAATTCATTTATCCTAAAGATCCAACAGTAAAGTGACGTCATTTTATTAACGATACTTGTATTTTCCCATTGCAGAAAGAAATCAACAAACTACTGGAGATTGTGCTCCTGGACCTCATCAACGAAAACTTGTAAAATGGTTTAGAAGATTCTAGCATAGCTTAACGGACTGTAATATACTCATAGTATTAATGGTACAAGATCTATATTATAAACTACATTATGCATTGTTATATGAATAAATGTTTTTTGTAAGTTATTCTGTATTTATTATTCCTTTTTGGCTTGATAGACCTCAAACTCGATTTTTCTACCTAATTGCAAATTACATAAGAATTTGCTTGACTCAGGATCGAATTAAAAGATCCCGATTTTGTTGGCATATGGTGTAGCCGAATAGGAGTTTCTGTGAGTCTAATAGTTAGGGCTAATAGTTTAATTCTGCCATTTAAATAACCTATTATAATGACTATTACCTACTAGCTAGTCTTACAGGCTCTGCTTTCACGCTCAGTCAGTAGCTCTTTGATTGAATGGATGAATGTTTAATACAGGTCATTAGTTAAAGGGGCAGGGCAGGTTGACTAGATTGTTCTTAGAACCGAGTTGCTGCCAACGTTAGACGTTAGATTGGGTTACAACTATTACTCTAAGAAACCGAACCAACATCACAGATAAACTTCTAGGTGTTAGTATTATTCTACGATGCCACTCACTAAATGGGCTAGGCAATCAATTGAATAGCTTACTAAATTAGTCGACTACGCCATGTCCTTTGTCATAAGTGATAGTTAAACTTACGTTACAAATTATTACACTGTACCTAATTTTAGTAAATCCTCGACTATTTTATTGTTCTACTAATGACTGCTTACTATAAATGGTTATAAAATTGCATTTTAACTGGTTCAAGAAGATTTGGGTCTACGGTCTAAGGGTCTACGTTAAGACCCTTCTTTTGAGGGGGAAAAGGATGGTGGGCAAACATGTATGGTAAATGTACCTTCCGACCAATAATAACCAGACGTATGCACGTCGTTGGAAAGTTCTTTTTACGATTGTCATTTGTTATTATAGGGGCTAGTCTCAATTCGTTGTTGGAAAAAAGTTATAGTTACGTTAACGATCTATTAAATCACTACCATAGTATAAAACAAAGTCGCTATCCGCCGTCTGTCTGTCCCTATGAATGCTTAGATATTTAAAACTACGCAACGGATTTTGATGCGGTTTTTTTAATAGATGGAGTGATTTTTAAGGAACGTTTATATGTATAATACACGCATATCTATTGCACCCGTTGGATAGGGCTTCTTAAATTGAACCATTCTGCTCAACATCCATAACGAATGTCTTATTCCATCCTGGGTTAGGCGAGAAGGAATGTTTGACTCTTACAGACTAAAAATCATCCCGTTTCATCTCCTGCTGCGAGCTGGGCATTCTTGGCCTGACAACGGCCGTAGTGGGTTTCATCTATGTAGTTGTCTGATGGTGGGTAAAATAGACCCGAGGTTTTAAAATCAAGTGGAGACTAGGACTTAGTCTCCTAATTAGGACCGTTAAAGTCCATACTGTATGGCAAATTCAACGTTTTACGCATACATGATGATGATGATGATGATACGATTTTTCTATGGAACCTTTACTACAAGATCTTACCATTCTTATATTTTCATTAAAATACTAGCTTTAGTTTTCAATGTATTGTTTACCTAATATATGCCTCTTTGATATAACTATGAGTTACAACATATGGATGAAGTATAAGAAATCGGGCAAAAACTATAAATATTTCTAAAAGTAGAAAAAGACAGTAAATTTTCTTTTGAGCTATGGAATTATAAACTTCTTGGTAATTTGAGGTAATGAGGTTAGCATCTTAGTACTGGTGTTTGTGAACTATAATCGGAAACTATCCTTAAAATAGACCTCAAGAATAACTAGTTTGATGGCTCGCCACGTTACTTGAAAGTTATGAATCAGCTTTGTTTAGGCGTCCACGTCTTGATGTCTATTGGAGAAATAACATCATCCTGTTGCAGCCCCTCATGCATCTAAATGAGATCTAATCCTTGGATCCATTTCTGAGTCATCATCATTATCAGCAAGCAAGGCTGATTGGCGAGTTCGAACTAATAACTTTAATGCGTATTTCGGGTTGGATTCCCTCATGGAACAACTTGGGTGTGTTCCACAAATTAAGTGTGACGTACACACGGCCACACATCAATCTATACAAAACCAGTTTATCGTGGTGTCGCGTCGCATCATCTTTCCGCACATTTAACGTTCAGTTTATACTGGTTATGTAAAGCTCGATATGTAGCCGTGTGTACAACGTATCACAGGAGAAAATCTTAGACAGGGAAATGTTTTATTTTAGAAGTAACTTTATAAGGTGATATTATTTTCCGCATGTCGTATAAAAATGAACATTGTATAAAATTTTATGAAAAAAGTAGTTTATAAAAAATCCGTGTACCAACGAACTCGACCGTATTGCTGTAATGTAAATAAGACACTAAAAGATATGATCTAAGATTTAATCATTGACCTAAATTCAAATCTAATTATTGTAATAAGTTAACACTTTAATTCATAGATAAATAATTAAATAAACAACAATGTTATTTACCTACATGTTTAACACACAGGTGGCAAATCGTCCGATTGATAAAAATCTATGCATAGAAAAACCCCAGAAAATCCTACCATAATTTTCTGATAACAAACAACATCCGACTGATAATTTCATTCAGATAATTCAATAACTAATTTAATTATTAATAATTGCAGATTATCTGCAATGATCAAGGAAAATGCATGATATGAATTGTTTTTACTGAATTATTTAATACTTATCTAGATTGTATCTATTGTCAGTAGGTATGTGAAAAGACGTCAGAGCCGTAAATCCCCCTGGATTATTATGTAAACACACTATGACATTGATATTGATAGATCACATTCGAATATCAATAATAATCTTCAAACTTATATCATTAACTTCTATCTTAAGGGTACGGAGGCCTTTAGCCTGCAGTGGGACGAATATGGCTAAAAAAGATCTATCTTAATTTATTATACGTTACCAGAAGGCCAGTCTTTCTCAATTTCCAAATCCCTAGCCCGAAAAAGCCGGCAACGCTCTTGTAACTTACGTAGCGTTGCGGGTGTCGATGGGCGTAGCAGATTACTTATTATTAGCATTTAATCGATAGAAAATATTTTATTGTTAATTGATTTCTATCCTAATTTGTACCTAATAAATATCCTTTGTAATAACATAACATCACGCCTTTTATCCCCGAAGGGGTAGGCAGAGGTACACATTACGGCACTTAATGCCACTGTACAATGTAACACCTATTTTTCACTATTTATGTTATGAGTCCCATGTAATAGGGGGTGAGTCTATTGCCATATACCGTGCACAATTGCAGACTCCGTGCTACTACTGAGATTTTTGAAAAAGCCCAGTAGTATTTTGCCCGACCCGGGAATCGAACCCAAGACCCCTTGCCTGACAGTCGCAATTGCGACCACTCGGCCAACGAGGTATCCTTTGTAATAATCACAGAATAATCGAAGCCTTTTGCTGTGGAGTAGTACCGACAAAAGATAAACCTTTCTTTCATATAGGTTTTGATGGTTTTTTTTTATAAAAATAAATCCCCAAGCTCCAAACCTCCAATTTCCAAAAGGCCGGCCAAATACTGCGAGTTTTGTATTTTCTCGTTAAACTATAGTAGTTACTTGAATGCTATTGGGCTCGTACATACATATCACTGTTCTGTTCAAGGCTGTATAAAGTCCTACTAATAATGCTAATAGTCATTATGAGTAGGACTTTTTTGTTTTGTAATCGAGTCTTCGAGTTTATGTAATGTTACAGAACTCCTTTTTAAAATAATAAAATTAACCAGACCCTTTTTTTACACGTTGGAGAGCCATGCTTCGATACTAGGTACTTACTGGGCTGGCTAGACCGGAGTGTTACCTTAACCTCACAGAAAACTGACGTGAAACAACGCTTGGGTTTTGTTTCGTTGTATGAGTGCGCTTCTCGGAGACCCAATCCTGCCCTCTTTCCCAATTCTCAATTCGAAATCCCTTATTTCTAAAAGGGGCTTACTGCACCTCTATTTAAAAAATCAAGCAAACCAAATTTCACCACTAATAACCTACTGTATATCAAAAAAATGAACCGTAAAACAAAAATACTGATTTGCACACAAATTGTTGAATATTAGGTTAAGTTTTGGCGGCACCGCCGTCCGTGAGTCACTGCAGGGTGCCACCTGAAAACCAGCGTTGGGCACAAACGTCCAACTATATGCTGAGGTGGAGGCCCTTTTGGTATTAGCACGCGCAAATTAAAATTAATATTATTATTTTGTTTATTAGATTTTTTTTTATTGTCTATTCAAAATTCTGTTATTATCGTATTATTATTTTGTTACCTCTATATTGTGATGTTTTGATATATTGTCTGTTCTGATCTCTATTCTTGTAAGTTTATTATTAGTATTTTGTTTATATATATGTATTTTAATTTTTTTAAATTCTTTGTTTTCTGTGCCTGTAATTGCCAAATAAATGTTTTTTCTTTCTTTCTTTCTTTCTTTCTTTTGTTTTTTTACGACCTTAAGATTATGGGTTAGATTAGATTAAGATTTTGTTGCACTTGAAGAACTATTAGATTTACTTTTAATTAAAAGATAGTCATTCAGTAAAACAGTTAAGCTTTAAAGGTCTAACAGTATAGTATAATTGATTTATTTGATGAGCAAATTTAGTGTGCAATTCAGTATTTTGGTGGTGATTTCGAACATTTTGATTGGAAAAAGGGAATTTACAGTTAAAGTATTAAATACCACTCTTTCTAAAAGGCTGGTTAGGAACTTGAAACTCCTATGGTTTTGCAAGTGACCATGATCGGCACCGATAGCTTACCAGCAGGTGATCTGTGTGCTCATGTACCATCCTGTGCCATAAAAGAAGTTATATATCAAGGCAAAGGGCTGGCTTTTTCTTCGGACAGAAAATAAGCATTGCCATTCAACGTGGCAATGCTGCCAGTCTTCTGGGAACGTTCCCCTGTGATAGTGATGCGGACGAATACTTTGACGCCTAAATTAAGGGTATAATTTTTGTTGTATTCTTTTTTTTACTTTCGTTTTATTTAATAGTTTAGTTGTAGTTAATTTTAAGTTGTAAATATTTATATAGTTATTTGTCTATTTTCATCATTTAAACCTCGTTTTCCTTATAATACTCAAGGTAGGACTTCCTCAAACCTCTCCTTGCATTATGCTTAAAATTATTACAATGCACACACATAATTACCTTGTAATAAACAATTAAGTAAGATATGTATAAGATAATATCTTTTGATGTGACGTCTCGATTAGTAATCGATTAATTGCCTCCGAATGATATAAATACGAAATTACAGCCATCATTGCATGTTATACAATTTTTGACATTTAATTAGGTAAGTCATTATGTGGAAAAGGTGAACAAAAAACTGATTTAAATACATATAAATATACAATTTTTTTGAAGAAGAATAGTAGGAATCATATTTTATGTTTAACGAGTATTTATGGTTATTTTTTTATTATAGATAAAAAAACAAGTTCAGAATGAAATTCTTCATTGCTTTCGCTGTCCTCATCGCAGGCATCAGCGCTGTACCGCACCATGACATTCATTCAAGTAAGTGTACCTTACATATATGTATGTATAAGTGGAAGAAAATGAATAAATGACTTTGTATTTAACTTGTACTATTTATCAAAATTAAAACATATAATATTATTTTATTATGCCATGTTATAAAAATTATAATGTTAATTACAGTCGATTTTTCTAACGAGCGTTTGGTAACTGACGCCATTGAGGACGTCATCGAAGAAGTCAGCCAAGCCATCAAGGACGCTGGCCTGGACCCCTTCCACATCAAGAGAGAAGACTTCAACTACGCACTCCCAGTACCAGAGTAAGTATCTTTATTAACTCGTCGAGTACCGGTTTTGTAGACACAATTATAGAACAATAGGTTGCAGTCACCAGTGACAGCTTGGTGTTTGACAGTTTAAAAGGTCCCCCCAACCCAAAACCCCAAAATACCGGGCTTTTGGGAATTTGGAGTTAGAGTGTTGGGGATTCAGGGATTGGAGAGATTGGGGAAGGGGAGGGTAATTGGGCCTCCGGTAACCTCACTCTGCCTCACTGAAAACCGACGTGAAACAACGCAAGCGTTGTTTCACGTCAGCTTTCTGTGAGGCCGTGGTATCACTCCGGTCGAGCCGGCCCATTCGTGCCGAAGCATAGCTCTCCCACACTTAAATAATAGTTAATGTACTAGACAATAAAGTAAACAAGTACATACTTACCCTTTTTGAATCCGGTCAGGGTTGTGGGTCATGTGCAATAACACAACGTGGCTTGACATGGAGCAGGAATTACAACAGAGTGGCTTTTGTGCCCACACGATGAAATACAACGCTAAGTCTTATTTAGATATTATTATAATTCAGGTTACAATACAACTGTTATCTTTCCAGGCTCTTTAAAATTGATGCTTACATTGATGAAGTTCTGAGCACTGGTCTGAGTAACATCAAGACCAACAGGCTGTACTACAGCGTCATCCTCTCTCGTCTCTACTTTGACCTTGAGCTGCCTCTTATTCACTTTTCTCTCGGTAAGTTAGTTTAACAAACTATTCCGTCAATTTTAGCATGCTTTTAATTGAAAATTAACGTAGTTTTCTTCTAAAAATCGTTCGGAAAGGAAATTCCAAGAGTTTTGTTAGATTACAAACGGCACCTTGTAGGTGCATTTTTGGTTAGAGAAACGTCCCCGTTTCTTGGACTTTATAATCCCTTATAAAGTAGGTTGCATTACAAATAAAATAATACTTCAGCTTTCTAATCGTTTTCAATTTTTAGGTGGTGCCAAAGCTGACGCAGTATTATTCAACCACGACCTTGGCGCCAGCGGCTCTGGAAGGTGAGTGCAAAAATTTTCTTCACGGAACATACTATTGCAATATTTACAAATAAAGGCTGTAACATAGGTTTATGATATTCTTATATAAGAGATTTCAGTTGATATTTGAAGGGCTTTCACAACCTGTACACGTGTGTATACATTGGATCTATAATAAATTACCGTAAAATGCGAGTGATCATTCAATGCAGCAGTGATATATATATTATAACATAGCGTAGCATTTCTTAAATCTATTCTGAATTTTTATATCGGTAAGGTACACATGCTAAAAGGCGTTCGATTGAGCATGCTCAATAATGTTCAAATATCGAACACCTGTCGATTTGCAAACATGCCTGAAATGAACATTCCGACACATACGGTATTAAGTGACAAGTGTTTAATTAAAGCATGCTTTCGTGCTTCAAAGCATGTTTAACAGTACCTTTATGAAGTGTCTTATTCTTCTTTACAGCGTCGACGTTGAGAGTATCCGTGTTGTTGGTGACATCGACATTTACTTGGGCATCATCACCGGTGTTTCTGTCCAAAGCATCGACATTTCTTTCACTTTGGGTGACATTAAGGTAAGCTTACATATTTATTTTTAGCATTCATTTTAATGAAACTCTTAGACTAGATTTTATTCTTTTGTAAGTCAAGTTGCATCAATATCTTCTACGATAAACGTAAAGCTTCATCTTACTATTGCTTTTCGATTTTCGTCATTGAACGGATGGTATTAAAGTAATTTTTCGAGTGATTTATAAATGTATTTTATTTTTTTTCAGTCTGATGCCAACCTAGTCATCTTGGGCGAAGACTACTCTGATGACTTCAACAACTATGTCGGAGGAGTCGTTCCTGAGACCATCAAGGCTCATTATGTAAGTTTTTTCGCTTTTTGATAGATTTTCTTTATCTCCTAGCTTTAAGGTTCATTTTTCAAACGTTCTCAAAATCAGTCCTTACATAATTTTAAATACCCAGATCGGGACGCTTTAGGACGCTGTTGGTTAGTTTGAAAAAAAAATGGTATTATAAGTACCTATGATTTGATTAAACGAAGAAGTTCTCTTGTTAAATTATTCTGTAAGAGGTATAAAGAACTTAGAAACGAACAGAAGCAAAATATTCTCATTTTAAGATTGTAACCGCAATTAATGCGTAGATACGCAACAAGGAAGGAGATTTATCCAAATTCCTGTACTATGTACTTATTCTAACTATTTATTTTTTCCAGAATGAAATCAACGAACTCTTTGAAATTGTGATCCTGGACCTGATCAACGAACATCTGTGAAATGATTTATGAAACTCTAGCGTAGCTTAATGACACCAGATCTATACTCGTCTAGTTATAAATATGAATAAATTGTTCTTTTTGTAAGTCTATCTGTGTTGTTATTGTACTAGATAACTTATTCCTGGGGCTCCGGAGTTGGTCTACTAGAAGAACCCGGTGCCTCCTTTAAGTGCGGATAGTGGCCACCGGGGCGGTTTCAGTGAAGTAAAAATCCCACACTCCCTAGTATTTTTCCCAAAAATTCTATACGCCTTTGGAAGTTTTCCCCCGTCAACAAAGATAACTTTTATTCCTGTTGTCTCAAGTGGTAATCTTATACTATAATATAAAGCGGAAGTTTGTTTTGTTTGTTTGTTTGTTTGAACGCGCTAATCTCCATAACTACAAGTCTGATTAGAATAACTATTTTTGTGTTGGATAGCGCATTTATCGAGGATGGCTATAGGCTATAAAACATCACGCTACGATCAATAGGAGCTGAGCAGAGCGTGTGAAACCGCGCGGAAGTAGCTAGTCATCTATATAGGGTTGCTGAAATTCAAACCTCCAGTGCTGCGTGTTTGCATGTATGGAAGTTCATTACCAAATATTAGTCCTTACTTATCCTTATTGAAGCCTATAGGAGATATAGGATTGTATTAATACCAAACTTCAATAGGATGACTTAAACTCAGTCATATGCGTGGCGTAATCAATTTGAAATGAGAAATGAAATATACAATTTTATTACGAATCTCAAAGAGAGAACTAAAATATCATTAATATTTTCTTCTTCTAACAACTTAACTGTACGCTTTTTATCCCCGAATGTAACACCCACTTTTCACTAATTTATGTTATGAGTCCCATGTAATAGGGAGTGAGCCTATTGCTATATACCGAGCACCATTCCAGACTCCGTGATACTACTGAGATTTATTGAAAAAATCAAGAAATCGAACTTTATCCGACCCGGGAATCAAATCTGAGACACCTTGTCCGGCAGTCGCACTTGCGACCACTCGGCCAACGAGGCAGTCTAACAACTAAATATCAAACATATTGTGTAATTGTGCTCGGTCAAGCAAAATACATAATTATTTATTTGTTTTTCGAAATTGCACAGGGCCAATGGATTATTTTTTAAATTGTTCGCGTACAGTATCAATTCATTGAAATGCGATGAAAAATTAGGATTTTCGTCCCATTTCATTCATTGTTCAAAACTTCTATCAATTTTCACTAATAAGTAAATTATAAGTTGAAATCTGTAATTTATATGTCTAGTCAGTCAATGTGTGTTAATGGTGGTTGCTACCATCATATTCCACCGTTAGACATTAATCAGCTACTAATTGTTTCACTTCGATATATAAAGCAGATACCTAACCCACGTTGAAATTAGAACTGTTTTTACAGTTAATAACAGTGCAGTGTAGATAATATTTTCAATCGACCACGTAGTTTTTTGTTTTGCAGACTATTTGAAAGAGTGTGCTATTGTTTTGGTCTAGTGTACTTCCTGGTAAGTAATAATCAGGGTAACTTACATTTTTATGTACATACGTTCCTGTCTTGTAAAATGGGATTCATCATTATCATCAGCCTGTATTCGTCCACTGCTGGACATAGGCCTCTCCAATGGCCCGCCACTGAGCTTGGTCTTCAGCTTTTCACATCCAACCACTACTGTTGATATATCGTCACTCCATAGCTGGAGAGCGCCCTACACTACGTTTGCCTAGACGCGGTCTCCACTCTAGAACACGTTTACCTCACAAGTAATCGGTTTTTCGACAAATGTGACCGGCCCACTGCCACTTCAGCTTATTATTCCTTTGGGCTATGTCAATAACTTTGGTTCCCTGTCAGATCACTTCTTTTCCGATTCTATCCTTCAAATAGACTCCGAGCATAGCCCCTGGCGAGCTACTCGCTGCGTGACCTTAAACTGTCAAACACCAAGCGGTCACCGGTGACCGCAACCTATTGTTCTATAATTGTGTCTACAAAACCGGTACTCGACGAGTTAAATTGGTGTACCAATCGCACTGTCATTATCCATGTCTCGGCTCCGTTTGTCAATACAAGTAGTACACACTCGTTGATGACATAAAATGGGATATTAAAATCAACTATAAAAATATCAGCTGTAACATGACAGAGCTACAACTCAGGGTTTAATTTTTTGTTGTTCTGTCGAGAGACCAGCATAGTGGATAATTTTGTTTATTTTACAGTATTTAAAAGGAAATCAGAATGAAAGCCATAGTAGTCATCACCATATTCGTCATCAGCGTCACCACAAATGATGCCTTTCGTGCGTACAATGAGACTGAAGGTAAGGTTCTCGGTCATTGCCCGATTTTTATCAATTTTATACTGACTCAAAAAAAGGACGTTCTAATTTCGTCAAATAATCTATGTAGCCTTTTCCAGACCATATACTTATATACTAATGTATGGTGGTGCTGAACTAAGATCAATAAAAAAGGAACTTTGAAACTGACACAGTCACATAAACCCATACAGTTAGAGTATATTCGTTTCCTATACCCCTAGTTTTTGGTGGTTTTTGAGAGCAGATAGCATAACTAATTAAAGTAGTAGGTTTTACCCCAACATTTCAACTATCTTTTTATTATAAGCAATATTTTTCTAGATGTAAAAATGTAGATAGTTAGTTTAAGCCTGCAAATTTTTTCTTACAGTCGATTTAAATGATGAACGTGCAATGGGTGGGTACATCAGAAATGTCATCGCTGACATGGCCCAGTCCATTAAAGATGCTGGGTTTGATCCTTTTTACATCGAGAGACAAGAATATATCTACCAGCTGCCTGTGCCAGTGTAAGCTCATCGTTATTATTTTGTTAATATGATATCTGTCTGTGTAAAGACTGTTAGTGTGGGAGAGCCATGCTTTGGCACGAATGGGCCTGCTCGTCCGGAGTGATACCACGGCCTCACAAAAAACCGACGTGAAACAACGCTTGCGTTGTGTGAGGTTACCGAAGGCCCAATTACTCCTCCCCCTCCCCTATCTCCCAAGCCCTGAATCCCCCACAATGCTCAAATTCCTAATCCTTAACAGGCCAGTAAAGCACTTGTAACGCCTCTGGTGTTCCAGGTGTTCATGGGCGTCGATTGCTCACCATCAGGTGATCCGTCTGCTCGTTTACCGGCTTATGCCATAAAAAATATATTTATATGTCCACAACGGTAACGGTAGTATGTGTGGAACTTTGTTAATTTTAAGATATGTGTGCACCATGTACTGAGAAATAAATGGCATTCATTCATTTATTTATTTATTGAAATAAATGACATACATTCATTTAAAAAAGCATTCAACTTTTGGTTAATGGGTTGATGTAATTTACAGGACCATTTTTAATGATTTTTTCTTAATGAAGTTCCATTTCCCCCGACGGGAGCTCATGTTGATATTATTCATCAGTTATGTCATTCAGATTTTTTTGTAGTACAAACACAATACATTTATCTTTTTATCGTCTTAATTGTAAACGTATTTAAATTTTAGTGCTTCAAAATCATTTTCAGAGCCTTTATAGCCCATTAGGGATGATGACAGGGTATGCAAATTAAAAATGTAATTAGTCCGTCAGTTAGGTAATGGTAAAATATTAGACACGTATTTTTTATTTTATTGTATAATAAAGTGATACTTAGATATAACGAATCAAAGTTTAGGAGTGTGGGTTAAAACGTCATTTCTACGTATAAAATGTACATAAAAGTGACGTCACGCGATATTTCAAATCAATATATCTTTGAAAATATTCGATTCCGTAAAAATATTAAAAATACGTGTCTAATGATTTAAAATAATCTACCAGACGGACATTACAATGAAAATTAGTCATCTACCCTATTAAGCACTAATCGGAATAACTTCAAAGACCTTTTTATTTCGTATAATATTTCACTTCTATAAAAAAATATTTACAAGTTCTTTTTTTAATTTCTTATCCAGGGTCTTCAAAAACGTCATTTTAATCGAACAATTACTGAGCAATGGAATCAGCAACATCGTGGTTAACTCTGTCAACTACAGTCTGCTCGCTTCTCGACTCACCTTTGATATCGAACTGCCACTCATTGATATGGGTGTTGGTAAGTAAAACCTATTTGTAATTAGCTATCTGCCTCAGATTTGCCTAGGATCTTTTTCCGATGTTCCCTTTGATCCTAGTGTTTAAGTTTAGCATGTAAGTTACTAACAAAAGTGGATTATTTGTTGTCCAAATAAAAACCTTTATTATTATTATTATTTGAACGTATCGAATTCCTATCTACCAATAACAAACACGTTTAAAAATTAACTAAGAAATCGCGTGTTACTCACGTGAATATACTGAGAAGAGCTCTACTAGTTTTGAATCACAGAGGGGTTTTTTCTCTTGAGCAGCGTGCGCGGTAACGGCGATGTCGCGCAGCCTACTATATTTCAGCATATTCACGTGAGTACCCCGCGATTTTTAGTTAATTTAGTATGTCTCACGATAGTTATTATAAAACACGTTAAAAAATATTAGGTTTAGGTACATTTTCGTCTAATAGTAAGATAGTTTTTGGTAATTTGTTTATTAAATTAATTCGCTGCTCGAGTGGTCGCTGGTGCGACTGCCGAGCAACCCTTTGACCCTTGGCCTCGGGTTCGATTCCTGGATCGGGCAAAAGTACTAACCGAGTATTAAAAAAAATCTCAGCAGTAGCACGGAGTCTGGAATTATGCTCAGTATATGGCAATAGGCTCACCCCCTATAACATGGTACTAAATAATGAATGAATGAGGGGAAGTCCCGTAACGCCGGACGGCACCTAATGCCGGACACTTGTATTTTCTCGATAACTGATAACACGAGCGATTCAATTTTTACTAAAAATCTTAGGTGTCTGCCACTGGGTGACTTCCCCTAGAAATAGAATTGCTCGCGTTATTAGTTATCGAGATAATACAAGTGCCCAGCGTTAGGTGCCGTCCGGCGTTAAGAGACTTTCCCCTACATAAATAATGAAAAATGGGTGTTACATTGTACAGTGGCATTAGGTGCCGTAATGTGTACCTCTACCTACTCCTTCAGGGACAAAAGGCGTAATGTTATTTGTTAAAATATATTGTTTCACCTTTTATTCATGGGCACCAAATTAAAATATGGTAACTCGCCAAATATCTAGACATGAGTATTAATTAGACGCTTACAGTTGTACATAATCATGAGTAGGTTAATTATTTATTCAATAGTACATTTATGTCTCGAAAATCTGAGTCGCGGAGAACCTAACGGGTAACCGGGGCTCCGGCTCGACGTGCAGGAGAAGGAACGGGGTGGTTTTTAGTCAGTAAGAGTATGACACTCCCTCCCGCCTCACCCAGGCGGGAGCAGTCATTCGATGAATTTCCCCCTTTAAAACAAAAGTCTCGAAAATCTAGTTTATTTAATTATTTTTTTGTCCAGATGCTGGCTCAGTTGAAACCACTGTTTTCGGGAGAAACTTTACAATGAATTCGTCGGGAAAGTAAGATTATTTTAATTATTATTTTACAAAATGAAAATAAATACTTAATAATAAGTCACAGTAAACAGTATCGTATGAAAGATTTATCTATACATCAAAAAAACTGGAATGTCTATTTATAATATTAAAATAATCGCCTTTTATTACATGCATATGAATAGGATAGTAATAAAAACTCCGACACGAAAAGAAGAATTGTCCTTACCGAAAATATCAAATCTACTGCCTAAAATACTAACTTTCCGACTACTTTACATGACTGCTTATTGCTACAATACTATCCAAACCTAATCAAACCTAACCTAAAACGTCTGTTGTCGGTAACGTAGTAATTTTGTCGGAGGTTCAATATTCTAATCGGAAGTTTAGTTTCGTTATTCGAAGATCCATTTTTATAGTCGGCTAGGGATCGCTGGAGATTAATTTGTTTTTCAGAACCATTATTATTTTTCATATGAATATAAACACGATAACTATGTCCCTATACCAAATAATTGTTTTTATATTATCGTCTGTCTGTCTGTTTGTACCGGCTATTCTCTCAAATGGCTGGTACCTATTTTGACGGAACTGTTATTAGCAGGTAGCTGATATACTGAGGACTTGAGGAGCGACATAGGCCACTTTTATTTTGGAAAATTGATTTTATTTTGCAAAAAAGGAGTTATGTCTTAAAACTCATATTGTACGCGGACGAAGTCGCAGGCAACTGCTAGTGTTCAATAAAATCGTGATGTTACAAAAAGAAGAATGATAAAATAAAAAATACAAGTTGAATAGACACTGACAGTCCGTGGTGCTTGGCGACTGGGCTTCACCCAGTTGTACAGTCTCTTCTTTCTGCCTCTAGGCTTAATTCATTCTGTCTCCTGCAGTAATTCAGAGGAAAGAAACTATAGATAATTTTTTACTCTTCTCCTCTTATAATATCTTCAGATTCACTTCGTTGCGGGAACCAAGACAACCAAGTAAATGCGCGTTCTATTGATCACTCATAGACAAAAATTCAATGATAATACTGATTAGAAACAAAATGTAATTGATAAGTTCATTGAATGAAATTTATTAATTTAATAATCCCAGATATAATTATTTTCATTGTTCAAGAAAAATGTGAAAAATAAGTTATGAGTACTGCGCCGATTGGCAATATTTTAATAATATAATACGTCATTTCTGTAATTCCCTGAACAGATATACAGAGATAATCTTATAGATCTCCGATTTTCCGTTTGTTTTGTAATTAAAACCCAGTACAGCTTTAAAAGCCTATTACTGATAAGTACTGAAATCAAACGCATGATTTCTTCCTTGCAACATAGTAATATTTTGTGACATGAAGCACAGAATGTTTCTTAATTATTAACACCACCATCTATGAAGTAGATGTAGAACTATCTGGGAATTGTGCTGGAATGTGTACCGAGTGGTTTCGGAGTCGTCTAATAGAGGGCATTACTTGTACAGTTAAGTTTAGCTATAAAATTGGAAAATCGGTTTCAAGACAGTCTTGTTTTTTTGAATTAATACAACACTTATAGCATGGTGACTGTTATGTTGAGCTCTACATCATCACAGTCAGCGGTATTGATGATATTCCAGACTGTTGTATTAAAATTGGCGGTGATCGGTCCAGCGTATGAGGCCTCAACCAATATCTCTTTTACTTACTTTACTAGTCAATAGCAGTATTGTCAGATTTTCTAGCTTTAATATGACACAGCTAATAAAGTTCCTAATCTGCAGGGTGGCCATTCAGCGTATGCGCTTCGTGGGTCAGATTCGTTTTATAGTGAACTTAATTCCGAAGCTCAGCATCACTGCTCGCAGCTCGAAGATTGCCTTTACTATGGACGGGATCGAAGTGAGTGATCAACAGTAATTTATCAGTACTGCTCATTATAGCTTGCGATAATATTAGTGTTCGGCTAACCTTTTTATCATATTTCCAGTCCGATGTAAAGGTCGTTGTTCAAAATGAGGATTATTCTGATAAAATGAACGAGTTCCTGGGTACTACTGTGCCAGCTACCTTCAAGGAATACAGTGTAAGTCACAACTTATTTATATTTGAGTAAATATTAAGTTAATGACTGCCTCGTTGGCCGAGTCGTCGCAAGTGCGACTGCCGGGCAAGGGGTGTCGGGTTCGATTCCCGGGTCGAGCAAAGTATTAACGGGCTTTTTAAAAAAGAATTCTCAGTAGTAGCACGGTGTCAGGATTTATGCCCTGTATATGGCGATAGGCTTACCCCCTATTACATGGGACTCCATAAATAGTGCAAACTGGGTGTAACATTGTACAGTGGTATTAAGTGTCGTAATCGTAATGTGTACCTCTGCCTAATCCTTCGGGGTTAAAAGGCGTTATGTTATGTGTAAATATTAAGATTAATTATATTAGGTACGCCCAATAACTTTATTGAACAAAGTCACCGTCGCTCTGCGGTATTTCATTATGCCACCTGACATTGCATTGTCGTACAAAGCAATTAAAATAGAGTAGATCGCAATTATTTCATAACACTCAGAGAGAATAGGGTAGATGACTAATTTTTATTTTAATGTCCGTCTGATAGATTATTTTAAGTCATTAGACATGTATTTTTTATTTTCTTACAGAAACAAGTATTTTGGACGATAATTATATTTATTGATTTGAAATGTCGCGTGACGTCACTTCTATGTACATTTTATATTTTATATGTAGAAATGATGTTTTAGCCCCCACTCCTAAACTTTGATTCGTTATATTTAAGTATCATTTTATTATACATCAAAATAAAAAAATACGTGTCGAATATTTTTTCATTACCTAACTGACGGACTAATTAGATTTTTAATTTTCTTATCCAGTCATCTACCCAATTAGCAATACAAAAATAGGAAATACTAATTTTAATTGTTTCTTCCAGTCTGAGATCAACGAACTCCTGGAGATCCTGTCGGTGGAGTACATCAACAATTATTTGCAGGCACAGCAGAACAATTAGATCGTTTCTAAACGAGAGGAAATAATACCTATTTCTTAAAGATTGTCTATACACCGTCACACGTATACTAAGTTTTAATATTAAACACTTATACAAAAATGTTCTTGTCACTTATTTGCAGCAGAGGCCAGAAGGTCAAGTCTTTTTTTAAATTTATTTTCGACCTTATGTGAAAATAATAAAGCAGAAAATCTGATAAAGGAATTTAATGGATTGGAGTAGGTTAATTAACTGATAACTCGCTCTCCTATACACCTTGAGGTGGGGTCTGGCTAGGCCACCACGAGGTCGGCTGCGGTAGAATGTGATTCCTGCACCGTCGTGCCCACATGTGAGGGCAAATTGGGGTAGATCTTAGTCAACAAGTCAAAGCTGAAACTATAAAATTGAACTTGCTATCACGTCTCATTTTATAAGATTATCACGTTGAACGCATATTTATTTATTCATTATTATAAATCTTGTATTATCAAAGTAAATTTAATGGTTACATTTTACTAGTTTTGGATAATTGGGCCATTTTGTCCTGTCAGACAGTTTATTTTGTTCTCTTCAGGCTGGATAAGGATTTTCGACTTTGGAGTCGAAAAAAAGAGAGAAATAACTACTATCGACTGAATTTTTTCATTGAAACTTTTTCTACAGTCACCATTTATATTAAAAATATTAAAAGTTAATTGTTATTTTAACCTTTATTTGTGTTTATTTTAACATTTATTTGTGTATATTTTAACTTTTATATCATAATATCATAATATCACGATATTATGATATAATAATATATATATATCCTT